TATAAGTTTCAAGCCACTGGGTCCAGGACTCGAACCACGGTCGACTACGTGGAGTTCCAGCACGTTAGCCATTACGCCAACTGCTGGTACCCCTATATGATTTTTTTAAAAAATATATTTTTAGTTCAGTGAATGAATGCAAAATAAATAATAACTAAAAATATATTTTAAAGTTTTTCTTTATTATTTTTATTTTTAAAATAAACACTCACCAGAGAGAGACAGGGAAAATGAGAAAGCAAGCCTCCAGGTCTGGGACTTGAACTGTGGTCAACCAAGTGAGAGTCTAGCTCCTTGCCACCATGCCACCTTCTTATCCCAGATATTATATGTGATTCTCTTTTATTTTATTTTTTAAATTAATTTTATTTATTATTATTTTAATTTGCAATAGGGCACATGTAGTCACCAGAGAGAGTGAAAGTAAGAAAGCAAGCCACCAGGTCTGGGACTTGAACTGTGGTTATTTATGTGGGAGTCTAGAGCCCCAACCACCACACCACCTCCTGGCCCTTATATATGATTCTTTTTCTTTTTTTAAAGAATTATTTATTCCTTTCCATTTGTTATTATTATTTAATTTGATCAAAGACAGAGAAAAAGTGAGAAAGCAAGTCACCAGGTTGGGGACTCGAACTGCAGTCAGCCATGTGCGAATCCAGCACCTCCATCCACCACACTGCCTGCTGGCCCCAATGATTATTCTTTTTATTTTTTTTTAAAGAATTATTTAATTTTATTCATTCATTCATTTATTTTAATTTGGCCAGAGAGAGACACAGAAAGCGAGAGAGAGAGGGAAAATAAGAAAGCAAGCTACCAGGTCCAGGACTCAAACTGTGGTTGGCCATGTGGAAGTGTCCAGTGCCTTAACCACCACGCCACCTGCTGGTCCCTCCAATAATAATTCTTAATTTTTATTTTTTAGAATTATTTTATTTAACTTTATTTATTCATTTACTAGTTTTTTAATTTGACCAGAGAGAGAGTGAGAGAAAGTGAGAAAGCAAGCTGCCAGGTCCAGGACCCAAACTGTGGCTGACCAGATGGGAGTCCAACGCTTCCAACCACTATACTCGCCACTGGCCCTCAATTTTTTTTTTTTAACCTTTATTTATTGTGATTTTCAAACCACCATGTCCAGGACTTGAACTACAGTCAGTCATGTGGGAATCCAGTGCCTCAACCACCATGCAATCTGCTGGCCCAAGTAAAAATATTTAAAAGCATTGACCAAGGGGACTTACACTCACCAGAGAAAGAGGGGAAGCACCCACAGTAGAGCCTGGCCACAGCGGTCACTCTTCTTCCGTTATTCTTTCCCGTTAGGTTGGAGCACACCTGCACACACCAACCATGTTTTTCAGGCCACCGGAGCCAGGATTCAGCCAACAGTCAGCCATGTGGGAACCAGCTCCCAGAGCGTAGCATTTTTCCCCTCTAAAGTATTATTTAATTAATTAGTTAATTAATTTTTAATTTGAGCAGAGGGGGACAGAGTGAGAGAGAAAGGGAAAGTAAGCTGCCAGGTCCGGGACTCGAACCACAGTCAGCCATGTGGGAGTTCAGTGCCCTTAACCACCACTCTACCTGCTGGCTCCCCAGAGCATAGCTTTTAACCACTATACTTCAGTGCTAGTCCTGCACACATAACCTTATATCTCTTCCTTTACTCCACATTATTTCATAGGAGTATTTTTCAAATCACCAGCATTTACACAGTTAATTTTTTTTTTTTTTGAGAGAGGTTTTTGCTATAGGGCGCGTGCGCTCGCCAGAAAGACAGAGAGAGACATAGAGACAGAAAGCGAGAAATCACCCCCCAGGGGGGATGGCCACACTGCAATTCCT